CCCCCCCCCAACCCCACCAGTGTCTCTGGCTTCCAGCACGCTGGGTCTGTCTGGTCAGGTGGTCCACACCGAAACTACGGAGGTCACCTTGGTCAGCGATTCAATCATGGGCTTTGGGATTCAGCTGCAGGGGGGTGTTTTTGCCACAGAATCCATGTCCTCCCCACCCTTAATCGCCTACCTGGACCCAGACAGCCCTGCGGAGAGGTAAGGCCCGTGTCCCACTCTATTTATGGTCGACCTTTCTCTTCTGTGACCTCTCCCGTGACCTTCAAACTCTGCCGCCCATGCCGACAGGAGTGGAATCCTGCAAATCGGCGACCGCGTGCTGGCAGTGAACGGCGTCCCCACGGAGGACAGCTCCCTGGAGGAGACCAATCAGATGCTGCGTAACTCTGCCGTCGGCAGCAGGGTCACCCTGGAGATCGAGTTTGACGTGGCAGGTACACGGCTCCCTCTACTGGAGTGGTACTGTATATCACACTTTGCTCTATCAAAGTGGGATTGCTGATCTTGGTGCATGACAAAAACCAGTCATCACTGGTAAGAGCCCAACTAATTAAAAGTAATGGCAGAGGCTGTGAGCCTAGGTGATGCACATAATTATGTTGTTTACAGTTGTTTGCTCTAGACAATAGCTTCAGACTATTACGTGTTGGCTGTTGTATCGCTGGTCAAGTGACTCGTGTAATTTTAATGACCAAGCCCTGTGGTGGTTGCGGTCCTTTCTATTCAATAGGTAATCATATTGTGGCCATGTTTTTGTTTTATTTGACTATAAGCAAGCTGATTGTTTACTACAGGGATTTGTTTTGCCCTTTGACCCCTGACCTCTCCCCTCTCCGCCGCGTAGAGTCTGTCATCCCCAGCAGCGGCACCTTCCATGTCAAGCTTCCCAAGAAGCCCGGGGTGGAGCTGGGGATCACCATCAGTGGTGAGGACGCCACAAGCCGCCACGCGCATTTTCACATCACAGGGAGGTTCTGGGAAGCTCATTAATATTCATGAGAGAAGCGCTACTTGATTGGCCGGTGAATGTGCCCCCATCGACCATGTGCTACCTCATTATTGCTGTCAAAATTTTGCCTGATGGCAGTAAAGTAGATCATATAGGGTAGCGGTACTGCATTAAATCGTGTCATGTAGTATTTCTGCAAATACATGTTATGTTCTTCAATGGAAACATGGAACGTATGGGTTTTGGTAGTTAGCGATTAGCCTGGTTTCTTAGGCATTCTGTCTAAGGCATTCACTGGCCAATCAGGTAGCGCTTCTCATGAATATTAAGGAGTTTTCCCAAACCACCCTGTAAAACGTAAGATCGCCACGGCCGCACGCCCCCACATAGCCCGCAGCATCCCTGCTGTCTGTCGTTCCGGATCTGCTGCTGTTTCACCTGTTCTGGTTCCTCGTCTCTGGGTCTCAGCTCCGTCCAGCAGGAGGCCTGGTGATGTTCTCATCATCTCTGACATCAAGAAGGGCAGCATGGCTCACAGGTAAAGCTGCACCTCCTCTTCAGTCTGCCAGACGGTGTCTATTTGTGGGTTTACACTGGTGTGTTTATGTTAAGATAGGAATTCTGTTTCACTTATTTTGATTTAACTTTGTGGACAACAGTGCACTATAAAGACAGCAGATGTCAGGGCTGCTTGTTTCAGGCTCTGTGTGTGTGTGTGTGTGTGTGTGTGTGTGTGTGTGTGTGTGTGTGTGACAGGACGGGCACCCTAGAGGTGGGAGACAAGCTGCTGTCCATCGATAACATCCGCCTGGAGACCTGCTCCATGGAGGATGCCGTGCAGATCCTGCAGCGCTGTGAGGAGGTGGTCAAACTCAAGATTCGCAAGGATGAGGACAACTCAGGTACCCTCAGGCCAGGCCGGGTGGAGGTGGAGGTACTTAGAGTGCTAGGGCCATTCTTGCCTGGGGTTGGTTAGGGGGGGTCATTTTATATACTGTCTGCTTCATACTGTATCTCTGGGGCCCCGCTAAGAATTCTGGGAAGAACAAGCCTCAGCCCTCAAGAACAGCGTCTCCATTGCCTGCTGCGCTCGCTCTGCTCAGTGTCTCCAGGTGACGTATCACCTCATGCTGATGTGTTGCAGATGAGCAGGAGAACTCGGGCACCATCATCTACACCGTGGAGCTTAAGCGCTACGGCGGTCCCCTGGGCATCACCATCTCGGGCACCGAGGAGCCTTTTGACCCCATCATCATCTCCAGCCTGACCAAGGGTGGCCTGGCGGAGAGGTGAGGACTGCCAGTCCCGTGGTGTCTGGCAGAGCGAGGCGGCAGTACGATGAGCAGTGCGATTGTACCTCATGAAAGAACACAGCAGGATCCTGGATATTAGTTCAGCCAAAAATAGCGTTAGAATGCTACTTCATTACTTAAGTCATTTGTGTATTTAATGAACTGTTCTAGCCTTGCTGGTTTAATCTTCAGTGAAATTAGAGCTGTACAGTAATTTAAAATGCTGTCTTTGAATTACAAGTGAAGGAGTAGGTAATCATGGATATTTTTGGAGTGGAACCAGCAAGCCGTGACCAGTTTTTCATTTCTCAGTTGTAACTGGTTGTTGAATAAGTGCTTCGGATCTAGCGTTAGCACCTGCGCTAACCCCGCCATGTCGTTGGCCTGCGGCAGGACCGGCGCCATCCACGTGGGAGACCGTATCCTCGCTATCAACAGCCGCAGCCTGAAGGGCAAGCCTTTGAGCGAGGCCATCCACCTGCTGCAGGCCGCTGGGGAGTCCGTCACGCTGCGGATCAAGAAGCAAGGCGAGCGTGAGTGCCCTCGGCCCGTGTCGAATATCGCCTCCTAGTGGCAGTCGCTGGATACTGTCCGACTTCAGATTCTGGTGATCTTTTCCTTTTATTTTTCTTTATTAAATTAGTGACCTTCTGCTAGTTGGTGCTGTCAGGTTTTATTCATGGGGTTAACAAAATGCAATACCTGCTCCTTTTCAAAATTATCTTCATTTTCATGGGTGGTCAGGACTTATTTGTTTGTTTTTTTTGGCGGGTGGGGGATGGGTGGGCCCAGGGACAGGGGGAGAACGCCAGTCCTTTGTACAAACCCACCCGGCGCTTTCCCCACTGCAGTGCCCAGTCCCAAGCAGCAGCAGGGCTTGAACAAGCTTTCCAGCGACATGGAGGACGACGTGCAGGTTATGGGAAACCTGGGTAAGCTGTCCGACAGCTACTCTGCCACCCTCCCCAGCGTGGACAGCGCCGTGGAGTCCTGGGACAGCTCCACCATCGACACTGCCATCAGCGGACAGGGTGAAGACTGTGGTACCGACCGCGCTTAAGGACCGACTACCAGTATGCATGCGAGGTGTATGTCGCCCGTCGCTAATGCTAACGCGCGTGTGTGTCTCTGGTTTGCATGTGCGCGCGGCAGCCTCCGGATCCAGCCTCCACAGCCCCGAAGGAAGGAACACCCACACGCTGAGCAGCATGTCACCAGTGAGCAGTCAAAAAGAGCGCCCCCTACAGGACCTCGGGCAGAGCTTCGATAAATGGGAGCACATTACCATTGGCAGGTAGGGCCTGTTCATGGCGTATGGGGGGGGGCGTGATGGGTTTTAGTGTCTATCTGAGGTTTATGAAAATACAATTTGTTGTAATTAATCATTACATTCCCTACATTTATTTGTTCATCTGATGGCATTGATATTGCATACAGCTGGGAATTTTATTTTGCAGAAGCAGTTTATATTAAATACTACATTAGGGCCCCCTGGCTTTCATGTTTGTAACTGCAACACTGCCTGCTGCTCAGAACATGATTAGATTTTCCATTTTCCAATATACATTTTTTCACTTATACACCATACTGGTATAGATATCCCAGTTTCGTTCCCCTCTTTGTTTATGCCGATGCCAATTGAATAATGCCACGCGGAGATGGCACGAGCAGGAAAGCCCTACATCACTCCTTAATTGAGTTTGACACTGTTGCCCTGTGTCCTACTTTGTCAGCATAATTTCCATTAATAAATTAGTGTTTAGGACACTTTTAAAATAGGGACTGACCTCAGGAGAGAAGGGGAAAAAAATGCAGTGAAAAGGATGCGCTTTGCATGCAGTGATGCAGTTTCTGTTCGTTTATTCATTCAGGCTTCCTTGGCCAACACACGGCTTAAAGATGCCCTTTGCAAAGAATATCTGCAGGCGGTCCTATCATGTGTCACACCTGTTTCTATACATATAAACATACACGCAGACACATACACATATGCACTCACCTAAAGGATTATTAGGAACACCTGTTCAATTTCTCATTAATGCAATTATCTAATCAACCAATCACATGGCAGTTGCTTCAATGCATTTAGGGGTGTGGTCCTGGTCAAGACAATCTCAATCTCCTGAACTCCAAACTGAATGTCAGAATGGGAAAGAAAGGTGATTTAAGCAATTTTGAGCGTGGCATGGTTGTTGGTGCCAGACGGGCCAGTCTGAGTATTTCACAATCTGCTCAGTTACTGGGATTTTCACGCACAACCATTTCTAGGGTTTACAAAGAATGGTGTGCAACGGGAAAAACATCCAGTATGCGGCAGTCCTGTGGGCGAAAATGCCTTGTTGATGCTAGAGGTCAGAGGAGAATGGGCCGACTGATTCAAGCTGATAGAAGAGCAACTTTGACTGAAATAACCACTCGTTACAACCGAGGTATGCAGCAAAGCATTTGTGAAGCCACAACACGCACAACCTTGAGGCGGATGGGCTACAACAGCAGAAGACCCCACCGGGTACCACTCATCTCCACTACAAATAGGAAAAAGAGGCTACAATTTGCACGAGCTCACCAAAATTGGACAGTTGAAGACTGGAAAAATGTTGCCTGGTCTGATGAGTCTCGATTTCTGTTGAGACATTCAAATGGTAGAGTCAGAATTTGGCGTAAACAGAATGAGAACATGGATCCATCATGCCTTGTTACCACTGTGCAGGCTGGTGGTGGTGGTGTAATGGTGTGGGGGATGTTTTCTTGGCACACTTTAGGCCCCTTAGTGCCAATTGGGCATCGTTTAAATGCCACGACCTACCTGAGCATTGTTTCTGACCATGTCCATCCCTTTATGACCACCATGTACCCATCCTCTGATGGCTACTTCCAGCAGGATAATGCACCATGTCACAAAGCTCGAATCATTTCAAATTGGTTTCTTGAACATGACAATGAGTTCACTGTACTAAAATGGCCCCCACAGTCACCAGATCTCAACCCAATAGAGCATCTTTGGGATGTGGTGGAACGGGAGCTTCGTGCCCTGGATGTGCATCCCACAAATCTCCATCAACTGCAAAATGCTATCCTATCAATATGGGCCAACATTTCTAAAGAATGCTTTCAGCACCTTGTTGAATCAATGCCACGTAGAATTAAGGCAGTTCTGAAGGCGAAAGGGGGTCAAACACCGTATTAGTATGGTGTTCCTAATAATCCTTTAGGTGAGTGTATATATACACACATATATACACATACACACACACATACATACATGTTTTACTGTATAGCCTGTGACTTCCTCCTTCATCTTCTTCCTTGCAATTCTGCTCCAGAAGAAACTGAATATTTAATGCTTCATTATTAAAGAATGAAATACAGTTGCAATCTTTTAGTGTCCTGAGAGACTTTTAGCTCGGCCGCCATGATTGGCTGATGTTCCTGTCCCTCATACCTGCAGGGCCGCCACGCTGCCCTCCGGCCGTTCCTCTGACAGCAGGTAGGGCTCAGCGCCGTTCCGCTGCTGCCGCCTTAGTCCTTGTGCATCGTCTTTCCAAAGCTCCACCCATCTCTGATTGGTGTCTGCCATTGGTCACCCAGAGGGAAAGGCTCACGGTTCCCCTCTGGCTGTACTCGTAGGTTCAGCATGAGCCATGAGCGGACAGTGCCCGATCAGGAGGAGAGCTTCTGGTCACAGGCCCTGGAAGACCTAGAAACATGTGGGCAGTCAGGCATCTTGCGGGAGCTGGAGGTAAAGACTTAAACCAACAGCCAATCAGAATGTGGGCCAATACAGAATACAGGGCACCTGATGACCAATCAACTGAATCGCCTCCTTATGCCCCACCCCTTTTCACCTTAATGTTATTTCCTCTCAGTAGCATGATGTCACTTCCTCTGGATGCATATAATATTCCTTCTCTTTCTAGGACAAACCAGACAGGCTTCTGGATAAGAGAAACCTGAGCATATTGGTACCCTTTCTGTGCTTCCTGTCTGCTTGTAGTCTTGGCACTTGGCCGCGTCCTGCTAATCATTTCGTTGGTCCTCTGTAGCCTGCTGGTACCCGTCGCGACGCAAGCGGGGTGCCCCGTCACTGGGGTGGGGGTGGAATGCATCACCCATGTCTGTCCTGACCTCCTGTTTGCACATCACTCGGTTTCAACCATTTTTCATTGTGACAGCCAGTCATTCATATTGTAGCACTAGGGTAAAAATTCCTAAATAGTAATTGAACTATCTTGTATTGAAGAGCCAAAATATGTAGTCATGAATCCCAGCCTCAGTTCTGGGCAACAACAATGCTGTAGCGTGCAAACATTGACACCATTTCAAAGTATTTTGTAAAAATAAAGAATTTAAAATGAACAATTCAAAGAATGGATAGTAGAAGGCTGATGCACCCTTAATATTTCCATTTGAATATGAGTAACACGAATCCACTTTCCGAAAGACTGCTAACGTTTGTCGAAACAAACGCTAGAGTCATGTAGCTAAGTGGGCCGATGACATGAAAGACGTTTACAGAGCTTGAGCGGTACCAAGGCGCCGTTTCCTGCCAGCGAGACTCGTAACCCAACAGTCGAACGAGCCGTTGTTTGGGCATGGCGGACGGCGCAGAGCATGATGGGTACTGTGCTTTGGTGGGAGGGGTGCGTGAACGCACATCAGCAGCATTCTGAATGCGGCACACGGATGCGGAGGTGGCTGAAGACTACAGCTGATCTGGGGTGGGGGGCGGGTATCTCACGCTGCTGTGAAATGTGTTTCTGTGTTGATAACAGGAAACATTCATCATGTGACACCCGGTGGGTCACATTCCTGATGCTCTGAGAGCTCCATCGAACAAAAACTGCGCCCGTTTTCCGCATCTCTTGTCGCGGAATATTGCAAGAGATGCGTTCGCATTATGCATGAACGGGTGTGTGTTTCTGGGCGTGGTTATGCGTGTGTGCATGCACAAGGGGTGCGCCTGGGCGATTGTGTGTGCGTGCTTGGAATGCCCCACTGAAGCCTTGCTTCTTCCTAACCCCCCCCACCTCCCCCCCCCATCCCAGGCCAGCATGGCAGGCAGCACCCTCAGCCTGAACGAGGGCCCTCCCCCACGTAGCCACCTGGGGCGCCAGGCCAGCCTACAGGAGCGCAGCCCCAACCGGGCCCAGTACGGCCAGTATACCCACTACAACCAGGGTAGCCGTAGCCACACGCTACCCACCCACCCTGGCCACAAACCCTTTAGCATGAGGAAGACGAAACAGGATGTGAACGACGTGTCTCCCATGCCAGTAGAACTGCATAAGGTGAGCGAACTGGCATCCATAGGTCTTCATTGTGCAATGGGAGCCTCTAGTGGTGAATTTAAGTACTGCAGGTTCTGGACATTCTTTTTATTATGAGAAACTTTGAAGCCAAACTGGTACAGCTACTCTTGAAGGCCTGTCTCTGTCCAGGTGACTCTCTACAAGGAGGCGGGTGCTGAGGACTTTGGCTTCAGCGTATCTGACGGTATCCTAGAAAAGGGCGTCTATGTCAGCAACATCCGGCCGAGTGGCCCCGCCCACCTGGGCGGGCTGAAGGCCTACGACCGGCTGCTTCAGGTACCAGCGTGGCGGGGCATGCCAGCGGCGCCGCTATCCTCATCCGGAAAGTGATTTAATACCTTGTCTGGGAGGCATTGTAGATGGGAGTTCCTGCAAGACGGTTGGCTTCCTCTAAACATCAGTGTTATTTTTGTGTAATGGTAGTGAACTAATTGTGAACACGCTGGTTAACGGCAGCTAGTTAGTTTGCAGCATTGTCCGCTAACGGTAGCGCTGGCTAACAGTAGCTAACTGCTGACCCTGGTGTTGACTCACAACAGCTGGCTGCCTGTTACAGCTAAAGAGATCAAGGCCTGCTGGGTTCACAGTCCCTTCGTCCCCATCTCCTTGCCCGTAGGTCAACCACGTCCGAACGAGAGACTTTGACTGCTGCCTCGTGTCTCCTTTGATCGCCGAGTCGGACGACAAACTGGAACTGGTCATCAGTAGGAACCTACGGGCCTCGCCGTCCTGTACGGAACTTAACCAGGCAACGGAAGGGCTACTGGACTGGACCGAGCCCGTGCAAAACCACCGGGCCACAGAAATCGAGGCCCGAGACACATCCCAGACATTATAGCAGCTGGACCGGAGCCGGAAGAGTAAGAACCGGCCTCTATGGTGCTAACATCCTTAGGATGGTGGTTCTGTCCAGGCACGGCAGAGCTAAGCTCGGGTGTCACCCGTTTCCTGGTTGGGCGAGTCCTACTACCCCCTTTAAAAGACTGAATAGTAAGAGGACTCTCCGGTATCTGGGGAAAAAAAAAAAAAAACATGGGAAAAAAATAATGGAAACTGTGCCATCCTTTTCTTAATTCTGAAGGACAATAATATTCAACGGGAGCAGGAACTGCGATGTTTACATGTGATGTCGGACGTGCTTGTGTGTACGTGCGTGTGGTGTGCGTTTACGTGCGTGAACGTGGGCGTACGTTTGTGCGTGCAGCCGAGACGATTCAGAGTACCAACCCACCTCCCTCCCAGCGCCAACTTGGGTGCCCTCTGCCGCGCCAAGCTGGGCAGACCTTGACGGGCTCCTTCACCCTTGAGTGCAAGCCCCGCATCAGCACGCACAAATGCCTCACGTTTCCATGTTTATTTATTTGGTTTTTAGCATTAGTTTTATATTTAAATCTTGGAGCAACTGCTGTAAATCCAGACCGGTAAGCGACATCCTGGTGGGCAAGACACTGGACAAAAACTGCAGTGAAAATAATTCAGCACAAAGAGCCACTGAAAAAAATACGGGTCAATACTTCGACTGCAGAGTCGGTGTTCCCACAGTGGAGCCTGCGAGATACGCACGTTCCTCACTTTTCAAAAGCTCTCGTTTCTCTCACGGGGACGGATGTGCTGCCAGTAAGCAGAGACTCTGGGCCACGATAGTAAGGGGGCTACTGGAGTCTGAGGGGCACCTGCAGCCACGCCCACCCAGCCACGCCCACCCAGCCAAACTCCCCCAACAGACCCAGCACTGCGTGTGTCCTAGGGCTCCCCCTGGGAGCCAGTAGCTGCTACAACACCACTGACATGTCCCGGCACCTCTGTCAATGTCATTGTGACTGATCCACGGAGAGCTCCTCCTTTGATCGATCGGACCTTGCCGAAAGCCAGCTCTGCCACAGGGTGGGGGGGGGGCAGCCATTGATTTGAGGCAGACCAAGGTGAGCCTTCAGAGTTATGGTTGGAGGTAATTTGGCGTGAAGCAGCCTTCGATGGAGGTGCCAATGCCAGTAGTTTTGCCCTGGGCTTAAATAGCTGGAGCTACTGGGATACCAGGAGTTACCTGGCAACTCTTCGTGCGCAAAAAAAGCAAGCAGTGGAAACAGGTTTGATTAAATTCAACGAAGATCAGTGTAGAGGAAGAAAATACAGTAAAAAGTCAAGCATGATGTTCCCAACACTGCAACACTGACATGTTTACTGTGGATTTGTATTTTGTATTTTTCCCTGCTTTAAGTAAATATGAATATATGTATATATGTGAAACTGGAATTATTAAAAGGGTCCATTTTCTATGTTTTTCTACCTTCTGTTATTTCTGGGGGGGGGTCACATTGCTCTGGCTGTGTTTACAGGGATGACTGTGTGTGCATGTGTGTGTGTGCGTGTTTATATGTCTGTGTGCGTGTGTCAGTGTGCGTGCATGTTTGTGTGCGTGCGTGTTTGTCTGCGTGTGCGCGTGCACACACATCTTTAACCCACCAGTTTAGCGGGATGTTTCCCCTCCACTTCCACAGCGCCCAGTGCTGAGGACCCTGAATGAGCATAGCGGTAAGTGCTCCCCCACTTGGCAAACACATGGCCTGCAGGTGACTCCATCATCTCAGGCCACTTTCTGGCTGGGCGTCGCAGCAGCGCTGATTAGCTGCCTCCCAAAGACGCGGACGGCTCCACGGAGACCCACTTGTACGAAGCTGAGTGGCTTCCTGTCAGTTGAACCCCCCCCCCTTCATTTTGCTCTTATTATGTCAGGTCATCCCAATATAATCTCGTTTTATGTATAGAAAGTGATGTGGAGTTTTGCATATTGTTTAAAATCTTCCTCCTCTTGTGAAAAAACTACAAGCTATTGTTCTGCCTGGAAGTCAGTTGTACACTGTCAGTTTCCTATTTATTTCACAGTTTATTTAATATTGGTAAAATGTATGTTCCATGAAGTTACAGAACGTTTGGCACTGATACCCAGGTGATCGAAGATTCTAAGACTTGGTCAGTGTAGGCTACCACGTTATAGTTATTCTGCATGTTGTCCACCACGGGGCGATGGAGTGAGCAGCAGTAGCTGAGACTGAAATTAAAGACCAGCCTGTGGATTTGAAGAGATCTATTTAAGTTATTACAAGGTCACTTCATGTATGAAGCAAAAACACGGTGTATAAAGTCAAATACAAAATCTTGACATGTCAGGAACTTCAAAGTCTGTAAAACATCCAACATTTTCGCCAGATTATAAATATTTTACAAAAATTCTGTTTTTTTTTTTTTTTTTTAAATCAATGTAACACAAAAATAGTTTGGCTAAATTAAAAACAAAGTCCAGAAATGAATGCTAATTCATGACTGCTACAGTGTTTAAGCATTCCTGTTCAGTCGTAAACAAGCTCATTGCGATTTTCATATCGATTTTCTCCACTGTGTGTGCTTGCAGAATGAACTTTGAAGATCTGTAGTGAGACACCTGGGCTACATGCCCTGTCCACCTGCATTCCTGTCACAGTCCAGCTCCATGGAGAGCAGCTCCTGGGTGTTAATCTGGCCCTGGTTGTACTGCTGGATCTTCTCCCTGAGTCGGGCCTTGGCAGGGTTCTCCGCGATGTCCTCGCTGATGGGACACCTCGCGTCGCCATAAGCACCACGCTGAGTAGCTGTGAAAGGTTTCAGAGGTGAACTACGGCATCATCATTATCCTGTGCCAGTGGATCTCAACCCAGTTGATGCTAGATTTACAGTCAAATAACCGTAAAGCACTTTACTGCGTCGCTCAGGCATGCGGGTGGTGGGCTAGGACAAAAACCTGGAGCGGCTGAGGTGGGCCGGAGGACTGGGTTGAGCACCATTCTACCGCAGTCACTTAGGTGCTGCTAGTAATATGATATATTACACATAGAGTTACTCCACCTTGGGCTAGGGTCACTCACGCTAGGCGACAGACCCCATGTCCGAGCATATTTGACCCCCAAAGTCCAGTTTATTTGACGAATGCGGTGGTTCCATACCGTGCCCAGGCCCGCTTGAAGATTTGGGCACGGTATGCAGCTATTGTATTGTTGTCCGGGGGACAGAACACGGGCATGACGTCATATGCATATGTGATTACGGCAGAGGTGCAGCATTTGCTGGAAATCGGACCTGATAAGAGTATCCAGGAACAACTGGATGCGACTCACAAAACCACATTTGGCATCCCGCTTGAGTGTGAGGGCACGGTACAAGGCATCCCGGCCGAGTGTGAGGGCACGGTACAAGGCATCCGGGCCGAGTGTGAGGGCACGGTACAAGGCATCCCGGCCGAGTGTGAGGGCACGGTACAAGGCATCCCGGCCGAGTGTGAGGACAGCCTTTAGCTAATCAGCATGATGCATGAAAAGAAGAACAAAAACTGTGTAGGAAATGAGGGTGAAAAAATACCTGCCTTCAGGTATATGGAGCTGCACAGGAACAAAACCACTGGCTTTGCAGTTGTCACTCTGCAGACTGTCTGCCTTCACTGCGCAGCTGGAGTGCACTTGCCGGCAACTGCAGAGATCCACCCCCTCCCACATCCAGGGGTTGCCCTGTGTCGCTGTCGTACTGTCAGCCTCCTGGGCCGGCATACTGCTCAGGTAGGTGACCTCTGATTGGCTGCACTCGCAGGGGCGTGGCTGAGGGCTGGCCAGGCACAGGGGCAGCGTCTCATCGTCCTCCACAGGCAGGCTCAGGGTGGGGTTTTCCAGGGGGCGGGGCCTGTCCTGAAGCTCGCAGAGCACTTTTAGCACCTGGGTCAGTCACCATGACAATGTCACCACACTGCACACACTCACTTTTTCCGCATGTTCTGTTTTTGAACAAGATAACGAACCTAAGCACATAAGTTATGTAAGCCCTGTATTATCTTGTCATCAATGGGTGTTTCTCAATACCAAGAATGCAAAGGTCCAACTTGTGGTCTTGGCAAGACTGATCTTGCTAACCTGCCATCCAAGAATGGACTTGGGTGCAATGAATCATGGGATTGGTCTCGTTTGGCGAGGATGCAGCCGATGTATCCTTCATATTTGGGGCAAGAACAACATCCAGGGATTTTTTTTTCAGCAATGTATGATGACATAAAACGGGTACTCAAGAACAAGTATGTTCAAGTATGTATATAGAGGAACACCCATGGAAACAGACAATCTGGCCCCCACGATCCCCCACCCTGAACCCGACAGAGCTAGAAGATGAGTTGCATTGAAGAATATGAACAAGGTAGCCAACTGGTACCGTATGTAACTGTAGGGTTATGGACGTTTCGGCTGTTGATGCTTCCTCTCACCGTCTCCGTGCCAGGCCGGCTCTTAGCCCGCACAGCAGTGCACTCCAGCGCCAGGTCAAGCAGCAGCCGTGCCGTGTGGGGAGTCCAGGAGCCGGCGGTGGGGTCCAGCCATCGCAGGCACGTGTCCATGCTGCCTGCGCCCTCGAGGGCCTCGCGCAGCCGGTCTGCCTGGGATACGCGATACGGGTGAGTCGAGCAGGAAGCTAGCGGCTTCGGGTGTCGGAAGGCCGACCCGTCTTACCAGATGAGTGCGCGTCCGAGAATCCTGCACAACCTGTCCTGTCAGGGTCTCCAGGATAATCTGAAACCAGGACGATCTCAATGAATCTATCTACTTATCACATTTCTGCACTGGTAGGTGGGTCTCCTTATAGGCGATTCTATGCTTCTCTCACAGGGGGTGCAAGGTGAGAGCGCGCATCCAGCCATTCATTATAGTCTACGCCAAACTGAGCTACGCATTAAAAAAACTGTAAATACATTTACAATAAATCATTATTACATCTTGATATGAGATTTTCAAATATAATTTATAATATTATATAATTTCATTGAATATGTTCAAATAGCATTTTAATCAAAATTGCACCCCAGTAAAATCGCCTGTGATTCTCATTACAATGACATTACTTTGATCTGGAAGGTTCTGTTAACTGCATTAAAGCAGGAAGGTCTGCAGCAGCAGCTGCGGAAATAAAATCAGCCAGCCAGCAGGCCACTCACCACCCCTAGGCTGTACACATCCACCCTGACGGACAGCTTCCCGTCGCGGATGTACTCCTCAGGCAGGTATCCCAGGGTGCCGCGTGAGCCGGTTACCATGGTAACAATGCCGCTTTGAGTTACAGAGTGCGGCCTCAAGTGTGCTGTCCCAAAATCACACAGCTTGGGCTTTAGGCCATCATCTAGCAGTATGTTTGCACTGGGGGGGGGGGGGGCACACGACACAGGTAGAAGATCTCAACATGCTCTGGAAATGGTGTTATGTTAAAATTACAGGGTTGGAAAAGGGAACAAAACACTACGGTATTAGCACACTAGTAATTACTGATTAACTTTAATTCTAACATTTTTACATTATAATTATAATTTATTCCAGCGTTTCACCTCCTGGTCCTCAGGGAACCACAGCTGGTCCACATTTTCGCTCCCTCCCAGGGAGGGAGCAAAAACATGAACTGTCTGCGGGCACCTGAGGATCAGATTGGGAGACACCGATCTATTCTGTAGGCTGTGACAGTTCCAGGTTCTGCACAGTGATTGGCTGGATGCAGTCACCTGGTGATATTTCCACAGACAACAACAGTGGACCGTGCAGTATGCAGATAGTGGACGGCCTTCGCTGTCCCGTCGATGATGTCCAGGCGCGCCTGGCAGGACAGCGGTTCACCTACACCCTAATGGAGGACAGCGGGCAGGTGACGCTGAAGACTAGAGGACATCTAACCCCAGGGTGACCTGGCGGTTACATCTCGGATGCTCACCCGCGAGTGCAGCCTGTCGAACAGGGACCCACTGGCCAGGTAGGGGCGAACCAGGCAGTAGGTGTCTCCTTCCAAGAAGCAGCCCCAGAGCTCCAGGATGTTGGGGTGCCGGTAACTAAGGAGGGGAGAGTCTCTTACAGCCAGTGTCATAATGCTCAGCGCCACGGGAGGAGAAGGGGTTCAACACATGGAAAGTTCATATTCGTATGATCTGCAGCTCTACTTCAGACATCCGAAACACTGTCATTGCACAAATCAGAAATGTACCAAGTGAAAAGAAACACACACAAAAATTAAAGGGAAAATTGTACCAACACAGAGCTCCCAGAGATGCTACCCAATGCTATTTTTCTCTCCAGTAGTATAACAGCCACTGAAAACCAGATAGTTGTTGGTTGTTGCTGTGCTACTACTACTGTCACCTCAGCCAATAGCTACACAGAAACAGTGGCTCATTAGCATAAATCGCATGGGCAATGACGCTATCAGGTGTGTTCATTCAAAAATCCTCCAACGT